TGTTTTTAGTTGATTTTAGAGAGAAAGGAAGGGAGAAAAACATCAATTTGTTGTTCCACTTATTTATGCATTTATTAGTTGATTCCTGTATATGCCCTTACTGGGGATCAAACCCACAACCTTGAAATATTAGGACAATGCTCTAACCAACTGAGCTACCTGGCCAGGGTTCAGCTACAAAGGTTTTATAGGAACACTGCTTTCAGATACTGGAGAAACCTGTACTTGATTGTTTCCTAGGAATTTTCAGTATAAACTAACCCTTATCAAAAAAATCTCCCTCAGAATCTTAACTCATTGCACTGATGGTTAAGAATGATAAAGAGAGACTTCTGGTCAAGATAGAGGCATAGGTAGATATGCTTCACCTCCTCATTCAACCACAAAAAGAATCACAACTAAATAAAAACAACCCCCAGAATTGTCAGAAAATCAAACTGTATGGAAGTCCGACAACCAAGGATTTAAAAAAGTCACATTGATCCAGATGGGCAGGAGGGGTGGAGAGGTGGAGAAGCATGGAGAAGTGCAGAGAAGTGCAGAGAGGTGGAGAGGCACGGAGAGGCAAAGAAGTGCAAAGACACAGAACTGATGGTTCCACATCCACATGTGGTGGATAAAAATCAGATACCTGAGGAGTGAGGAATCCCAGCCCCAGACCAGACCACGCAGCCCAGGGTTCCAGCGCCAGGAAGTAAGTCCCTATAACTTCTGGCTGTAAAAACTAGTGGAGACTGGGTGGTGAAGAAACTGCAAGACTTAAAGGGCCCAAAACAGATTTAAGACTTACACAGACCCACTCCCTCTGGGATTCAGCACGAGAGCAACAGCTGGAAGGGCACAGGTGGCATACGAGAAGAAAGTGAAATAACTGGCAGCAGGGCGAGTGCCAGAGGCCAGGCAGCACGCAGAGCCCTCCCCCACACAGAGCCACAGAGCAGTGACATGGGTTGCCCCACCCTGGCGATTACCTAAGGCTCTGCCCCATACAACTTACAGGTGTGCTTTTCTACAACTATAAGCCATGCTACTAAAACAAGGAATGGAAACAGCTCTACCTAATACATAGAAACAAACACAGGAAAGCTGCCAAAATGAGGAGATGAAGAAGTATGGCCCCAATGAAAAAACAGAACAAAACTTCAGAAGAAGAACTAAATGAAATGGAGATAAGCAATCTATCAGATGCAGAGTTCAAAACACTGATTATTAGGCTGCTCCAGATCTCATTGGGTACTTCAACAGCATAAAAAAGACCTAGGCAGAAATGAAGGTTACATTAAGAGAAAAAAAGAAAAATCTATAGAGAACCAAAGAGTGAAGGGGATGAAGCCGAAAATCAAATCAACGATTTGGAACATAAGGAAGAAAAAACCATTCAATCAGAAGAGCAAAAAGAAAAAAAAAACTGAGAATAGGGTAAGGAGCCTTTGGGGCATCTTCCAACATTCCAATACCCAAATCATAGGGTTGCCAGAAGAAAAAGAGAAAAAGCAAGAAACTGAAAAATTATTTGAAAAATTTATGAAAGAAAACTTCCCTAATTTGGTGAAGGAAACAGACATACAAGTCCAGGAAGCACAGAGTCCCAAACAACATAGACCCATACCAAGACATCATAATTAAAATGCTAAAGGTTAAAGTTAAAGAAGAAATCTTAAAAGCATTGAAAGAAAAGCAGATGGTTACCCACAGGGGAGTTCCCATAAGACTGTCAGCTGATTTCTCAAAAGAAACTTTTGCAGGCTAAAAAGGAGTTGGCAAGAAATATTCAAAGTCATAAAAAGAAAAGACCTACAATCAAGATTACTCAGGAAAGTTATCATTTAGAATTAAAGGACAGATAAAGAGATTTCCCAGACAAGAAAAAGCTAAAGGAGCTCATCATCACCAAACCAGTATTATTTGAATTTTTTACAGGGTCTTCTTTAAGAATAAAATAAAAAATATGAACAATAAAATGGCAATAAATTCACAACTATCAACAATTAAATATAAAAAACAAAGTAAGCAAACAAGCAGAACAGAAACAAGATTATAGATATGGAGATCATCTGGAGGGTTATCAGCTGGGAGGGGGAAAGGGGAGAAGGTCGGGTAGGGAGGTAAGGACAAAAAGTATAGTATATTCAGTATTAAAAATGTAATAATTAAAAGGACAAAAATCAATTTTAATTTCATAGATATTTACTCTAGATCAAGTATTTCTCTAGAACTCAACCCACATTTAGACAGTCTACAAGAATATGTGTGTGGAAGGGTACTTGATCTACTTACTTGAACAAACATTATAGCTGCCCAATTAGTCCAAAAAGCACAAGTGAATAAAATAACATCATAAAATGCTGTTCTGGTAGCATAGAAAAATCAGCAGTGCAGATAGACTTGTACTAAGGAGGAATTAACAAGAAATTTATGAAGAAATACTCTAATGTGGCTGACATCACAGTAACTATGTGAGTTTATCTTGATGATATTTCCTCCAAAACCAAGTGGTATTTGTCCCAAGTTAAAGAACAGCTTCCATTTATTATTCCTATATATCACTTTTTTAAAAATACTTCAAACAGAAGTACCTAGGTCAATTTAAAATATAAACTGATACAGAGACTTAAAACTTACTGTGTACTCTAGAGATAGTATTAATTCTAACTTTTAAAACTTTCCTAAAGCAGAGGGGCAGTTTCATTGTTTTTCAACAATTACAAATAACAAAGGATAAAAAGAGTAGCACTTTGTATGATGTGCTCTCACTACTTCAAAATACATTTGTCTGCCCTGTCTCTCCCTCCCCCTTGTCTGTGCTCACGCGTGATATCTCTACCTCCCCACCTTGGCCGTGGTCTCTCTATGGCCCTCTCCTTCTTGTTGACCTCTCTTACACTCAATAACTGGCTTCTAAACACTGATACTGAGACAGAATTTTATCAAACTGTAGTGTGGCCAAGTGAATTACAGTAAGTCACAAAATGAGAAAAAGAATCAGAAATTATTCAATTAATTAAAGATAGATAAAATTAAAGCCACAAACTTTCAACTTCATTTAAGATGTTTAAATACATAAGATTTTAATAAGCTTCGTAGAGTCAACCTAACAGATTTATTTACAAGATTCTGAGCTAAATATGTTAGGGGAAAAAATTAATACAGTTTAATACAGAGGTTATGTGCAGAGTCTTTGGAATCATTGCTCTGAGTTTGTGCCCCAGCTCTGCAATGACTAACTGTGAACCGGGGTAGGCTACTTACTCTCTCTTGGCCTATTAGCTTATGTCTAATGCTGTAGGGACAATGTGTCATAATGCTTGTGAGACACTTAGCATAATTCCTAGCACACAGTGAAGGTCCAACACATATATCTAAAACATCAGGTGCAGTGAACAACTTTCATTCTGTCTAGCATCTGAACTTACCCTTCTTAGGTTTGGGAAACTCTCCACTTTACGACTGCAGAAGGGCAAATAGTACCCTACATCTTAAATTTAAGAATTTCCCCTCATCTTATGATTTCAAAAGGTCAAACACTTTTCCACACATCCTATACATGGGCTTTGCCAAACACATGTGCCCAGCCCAGACCGGACATGGGAAACTAGCGAGTGGGAAAAGCAGAAACCAGAGGGAACTCTCTCTCTCACTACTGGTGGAATAACTGCAGCCAGGTCAAGTCCAGGGCAGAGGTGACAGCCTTCAGAGTCATCCAGAGCTAGTGTCACTGGGGCAGGCTGTGGCGTCTGTCTGTCTCTAGATGGTGCTGGCATCCTCATGGGAATCATTGTGCAATGTGATTTAAGGCATTGTTTCTGGCTGCTTAGTCTTAAATCTGGTTCTCTAACCCTTGCAACAGTTTGATGAACCACTAAGCTCTACCCAATATCTTTTTAAAATACATGATATGTTTGAATTGGTTTTTACTGCCACCAAGAATTCTGACTGACACATCAGGGAGGGGTAACTTTTATTCTCACCTGCTCCATTGCCACAGGGAAAAAGATTATTTTTAATCTTTACAAAGAAACACGAAAGTCTTGTTCACATTCCACCTATGGATTTATCCTGTAAAGTCTTAGAAAAGTTGTTTTTAAAAATTTTGAATCATCTTCCTAATTTAGAATATGAGAAATGTCTAATCAATTTTAAATTTATTTCAAAGAAACAGAGTAAAAGAGAAAACACAGGAAAATACCTATATCCGTGGAGAAACTACCACTGATGTAACAGAAATTATTCCAACATGCCTATAACTACCCTCTACAGCTTTCTTCCCAGCAGAAGCTTTTCACTTGAGCTTTTCTATAACCAAGAAATTCCCTCTGTCTCTTGAGGGTCATTTTAAGGTAAAAAAATTTTAATTATTAACAAAAGGCCTTAAATATTCCTCTTTTAACAAATAACTCAGTAAAGAATCCATATTAACAAAACTATTCAATTTTCTATTAAAACAGTACATAGCAACTCACTGCCTCATTACCACAGGCTGATTTTTCGATATGTAAATCACACTCCTCTTCCTCTGCTAGATTTCTCTGCAAAGCTATTTTATAGTTCAGTATTGCTTTTCTCCACTGTCTAGAATGTTAAAGCTCAAATAAATTTTATTTATTAATTTATAGTAATTTAGCAATATAAATGTGACGGTATGGAGAGAGTGAAACTGGGGATTAAATGTTTTTTTGTAAATCTCAGAAGCAAGTCACCATTTAGAGTTGAGACTATGTTGTAATGAATAAGGAACAATCTAAATCAACCAAACATAGCTTTTTTTAAAAAAAAAAAAGTGATAGTTTTTTCAGATTACAATTGAGAGAAAAAAAAATCAAGCACTGGAAATGTATACTGATATCTAATATCCACCTAACATTAAAAATAGAGTAAATCCCTGAATGTTGGTAGAGACTGTGTAGGGAAAACATCTGTAGAATTTTTGGGTTCCTGAAATCATGCGTTAGAGCTATGCTGTAAGATAGAAGTAGTTCAGGCCTTGAGAGTTATCAACTTACCCAAAGAGCCTATCTTCTGACTTCTAGCTGGGTGATGTCATTAAAACATCTTCAGCTCATCCTTCAAATTAAGTCAAAATAAAGTTAATTGAACACCATATGATATTGATTCCTGCATTTAACTAACAAAAAAAATTGTAAACTCAAGGCAAATGATTTCAAAATCCAACTGTTAATACTCTTTAATATAAATAAAAATCTGATTTATGTTGATTTATAAATACTGTGGACTTTTCAATGTAGATAGAATCATCAAAAAAATGTAAAACTTTTTAAGGTGTTCATAAGTTCATTTCTATGTAATTCCCAAAATGTGTTTAAAAATAAAATCATTTTTGCTTCTACGCTATCGGCTATTTCATTAATCACCAATTATAATTTATTGGTTGTTATTTACTGCATGTCCTTAGAACAGAACTTATACCTAAAAACCATGAATTTAAATGTATGCCATTTAACAACAGCAACAACAAAAAAATTTCTGGTCACAATCTATCTGCCCTGAAAGGATTTAATCCCTTACGGAAAAGTTCCTTTGCATTTGGTTACCTTATACTAAACATAGGAGCTTCCTACTCAGGGGAGAAGAAGAAAAAGTTCACACAAAATCTAATCTTCTTTAAATGAAGCACGGTCAAGTCAGCCTTACAAATTAGCTATATTTGCATTTTATAAGAAGCCTATAAGCAGCAGTGCTAAAGGACCTAAGGCTAGCTCTGGATTACTACTTTATTATGAAGAGTAATTTATGCTAGGAAACAACAGTAACAGCCAAAACATTAAAAAAATAAAAAAATAAAAAATAGAAGAGCTAATGACTCCTATCAAAATAAGGTACAAGAACAAAAAGTACGTAAAACCCAAAGGAGAACAGGGAGAGAATATGTATATAAAGAGGCAAAATAAGGTTTACAGCAAGCACAACAACTCCAAGGCACAAGGATTATTTCCCTCCTTCAAAACTGGCCAGCACAGATGACATGGGACAGACAGCTTTATGGAGCTTGACACAGGCATCAGAAACATCTAGAATACTATTACAAAGCAATGGAGTTGTCAGACCAAACAAAAACATTGCCATTCCTGGTTTGGACTGACTAGAGGAAGGGTATGGAGAAAAATTAAGTGGCGAATAGGTATACAGAAAAACAATAACAGAAGAACCTCAAATATTTACTGAGCTATTTCTTATTTTATATTTCTAGGTTACATATACTCTTTCATTTAATCCTAACAATAAACTTTGTAACTACTTATTATGCCCATTTTATACATAGAAAAAAACTGAGGTTTACAGAATTTGAGAGAGTAAGTGGTAGAACTGGGGCTCCAACAAGGACACAAGCACTTTACCACTCCTTTTACAGAACTCAGCAACTGACCTACCCTCTATCCATCCACCAATGTAAATCCACCAGAACAGATCTTTAAAAATAAAATTTTAATTCTTTAAGTAATAACTTGTTTCTAATTGAAAGTCTAGAAAATATAATGAATGTACTAAAATTCACTTCTTTTTATTGCTTTTATAATTAATATTTTAATGAACACCTTGTACATATAAATCTCTGCGCACATTTTTATTCCCTTTATAAAGTATTATAAATGGAATTCTGGGTCAAAGAGTTGTGAATACATTCTGCCAGAACATCTGATTTTAATATTACTGAAACGATGAAGGGATGATGGTTCCTTGAAAGGAACAACCATGCCTTATTCACCCTTGTATCCATAACACCAAGGCATATGAGCAAGTGGTCAATAACTGCTGAATGAATGAAGGTTTCTCTTCCCTCAGCATAGGGTCTGAAGGGAGAATTAAATAGAATGAAATTCTCCCCAGTTAGAAGACAACAATCATGCTAAATATCGAGTTCATTAATGGGCTGCATAAAACTCTTTTTAGGAAAGAACAGCATAAATACTGACACTGCCATTCAATATAGTTCCCTATGTTTACGAGTATGGATATCTTTTATTTAAAGAATATAGTATTTTAGTAGGTATACAGCAAACTGAAGACATTATTTCTCCCAGTTTAAGTTACTGTCTAAATGCCATAATCTGTTATTGCCCATGGAGCTCATTTAAGAACATGTTCATATATAAAATTCAAAGAATTAAATATTTTATTTATTTCTTAAAAGATTTTCTTTATTTTCAGAGAGAGGGGAAGGGAATAAGAAAGAGGGAGGGAAGCATCCACTGGTTTCCTCTCATACCCTCCCAGATCAGGACCCTAACCTGCAATCCAGGCATGTGACCTGACTGGGAATTGAACCAGTAACCGTTGGCTTTGTGGGACAATGCCCAACCAACTGAGCCAACCAGTCAGGGCAAAGAACTAAATATTTTTTTAATTATGTTTTATTACTTATGCTATATTTTATATTTAATTATATTTTATTTTGTTACAGTTGTCCCAATTTTTCCCTCTGTTCCCCTCCTCGCCCCCACCTCCACTACCTGAGGCAACTGCCACACTGTTGTCCATGTCCGTGGGTAATCCACGTATGTTCCTTGGCTACTCTAATCCCTATGCTGTATCTGAGTATTTTAAATCCCCATGACTATTCTGTAACTGCCAATTTGTACTTCTTAATCCAATCCCTTCACCTTTTCACCAGTCCCCTGACCCTACTCTCTTCTGACAGCCATCAAAACATTCTCTGTACCTATGATTCTGTTTCTGTTCTGCTTGTTTATTTTGTTTTTTAGATTCATTTGTTGATAGATATGTATTTATTGTCATTTTATTGTTCATACTTTTCAACTTCTCCTTCTTAAAGAAGACCCTTTCACATTTCAAATAATACTGGTTTGGTGGTGATAAACTCCTTTAGTTTCTTCTTGTCTAGGAAGCTCTTTATCTGTCCTTCCATTCTAAATGACAGCTTTGCTGGACAGAGTAATCTTGGTTGTAGATCCTTGCTTTTCATCACTTTGAATATTTCCTGCCAAATCCCTCTAGCCCACAAAATGTCTTTCGAGAAATCAACTGACAGTCTTATAGGAGCTCTCTTTTGGTAGCTAACTGCCTTTTTCTTTCTGCTTTTAAGATTCTCTCTTTACCTTTAGCCTTTGGCATTTTAATTATGATGTGTCTTGGTGTGGGCCTCTTTGGGTTCAGCTTGTTTGGGACTTTCTGCACCTCCTGGACTTATCTATTATCCTAATCAAGTTAGAGAAGTTATCTGTCATTATTTTTTCAAACAGGTTTTCAATTTCTTGCTATCTCTCCTCCTACCAGCACACCCATGATGCAAATGGTAGTACACCTGAAGCTGTCCCTAGAGGATCCTTACATTATCCTCATTTTTTTGGATTTTTTTTCTTCTTGCTCTTCTGTTTGGTTGTTTTTTATTTCCTTACGTTTCAAATTGCTGATGTGATTCTCAGCTTTATCCACTCTTCTGTTGATTCCCTGTAAATTGTTCTTTATTTTCATTAGTGTATCCTTCATTTCTGACTGGATCTTTTTTAAGCTGTTGAGGACCTCACTAAGATCCTTGAGCCTGCCAAGGAACTTAGTGTGGTCCTATGTGTTTGTTCCTATGTATTAGGTAGAGCTGCTACATCTTTCTGGCTTGATAGAGTGGCCTAATGTAGTAGGTATCCTCTGGGATCTCATGGCACAGCCTCTCCTATTACCTAAGCTGAGTCCTCAAGGTGCACCCACTGTGTAGGCTACGTATAACCTCCTCTTGAAGTTGAGCCTTGAATGCTGTTGGCACATCCAAGGTCAGCCACTGCCTGTGTTCTGTCCAGAATCACACAGCATAACCTACAAAGCGATGTGCAGATGGCTGCTACCCGTGCTGGGCCTCAAGGTGCCCAGGAGAGGTCACGCTGTGCACCAGCTGCTGCTAGTGCTGGGCCTGGGGCAACTTAGCGAGTGGTACAGGGCTCGCTGAAGCCACATGCTGCTTGTTTAAGAGAATTTAGTAAAATCTGAAGCATGGGCCAAGACAAGCCATTTGTATGGAAAAACCACTGGAAACAGGTTGGGTAGGTCCAAAAGCTGGGTGGGGCAGGGCCTCAGGGAATCGCCAGGGCAGGGCAAACAGTGTGAAGCATGTTGATGGAGTTTCAGATATGGTGCCAACCTGCTGACTCTGTGGCTCTGCGCGGGGAGGGCTTAGAAAAGAAACAATGGCCCCTGCGAGCATTTCTGTCTGGGAAAACGCGGCCTGCCCCCCGCCCCCTCTTGCCCTGATGCCAAACAACTCAGTTCTTCCCTATGTGTCTCTGATGCCTATCAATCTGCTGCCTCAGCACTGGGGCTAAGAGGGAGTGAGTGCATGTAAGTTTGTGGGCAGGCCTCTTAAGAGAAACTTAAGTGCCAGGGGTTCCAGAAGTTTCTGTCTTCCAGAGCCTCAATCCCTACTGGTTTTTTATATTCAGAAGTTATGGAGACTTATCTCCCTGGCACTTGAACCCAGTGCTGTGGGGCCTGGTGTAGACCTGGGACGCCTTGCTCCTGAGATATCTCTCCCGATTTTTATCTGCCACATGTACCGGTCTTGATGTGGTTTCATATTTAATTCCGTAGTTGTACGACTTCCGTTCAGCTTAGTTTCTGACAGTTCTGAATAATGATTGTTCCACAGTTTAGTTGTAATTTTGATGTAGTTGTGCGTGGAGGTGACCGTGTTTACTAAGGCCGCCATCTTGACCAGAAGTTAAATATTTTAATAATAGCTAGATCTGTCACTTTATTTACATTTTTCTATCAAAAATCATCATCTAGTATAATCTGTTTCTAACACTATTACAGAAGGCAATGTCCACATATAGATGAAAAGGATACACCACAAAACAATGTACCAGCCATTGATCTTATATTTCAGATGTACTCATTTAATCTTCACATTGCATGATAGCTATTACTATTATCTCTTTTATAGGTAAAGAAACTGAAGCACAGAGAGGCTAAGAAACTTGCTAGTTTTTTGAACCCAGACATTCTGGCCACACCTCAACTCACTACAAAGAACTGACTCCCAGTAGCAAGCAAAAAGCATTTAACAGTTTCTGGCTCAGCTTTCAGTGGACATTGGT